TGGGACTGGAAATGTAGCTCAGCAACTGAGTATCTGCCTAGAATATGTAAGGCACTAACTAGGTTCAATGTCCTAACACACCAAGAAAAGGAGAGGGGGAGAGACAGACAGAGAGAGAGAGAGAGAGAGAGACAGACAGACAGACAGACAGACAGACACAGAGAAACAGAGAGAGACAGACAGAGAGAGACAGAGACAGAGAGACAGAGAGAGAGATCACATATAAAAATCAACTCCACAAAAACTTAACTGTTGATAGTTTTCAAATGTTTCAAATAACTGTATATCTTACCAATAATAACCAATTACTACACATATTTTACATTAAGTACATTAAATACAGTGAAAAAATACGCAAGAATCTGGAGAGTTGGTTTTCTCTTTTCTGAACTATTATAATGGAACCCAGGTTACATGTGCAATAGCCAAGGACTTTCCATGAAGCACAGTTCCCTTTAACATTTCTATTTAAGACAAGGTCTTAGGAGATATACGTTTTCTGGTACTTACAAATTATGAAGGACACAAACTGCTTAAGGGTAAATAATTAGCATCCCATCAATTTTTAGGAATTAAGCTGGTAATATTCTAGTTCACTACAAGGACAATAGGAAGCTGCAAAATTCTTCTGGCAGCACATAATAAGTACTATAGTTAATTTTATGCAATTATAATTTAAGAATGCATCTTTAAATTTGGTTACAATCTCTTGACTGCAAATGATGCAATGTATGGCTAACTTTCCCCATTATATAATGTGCTTATAAATATACATATATGTATAAATAACTATGTAGAAATACACATTCCATATATGAACATACATATACATACATATATAGACCAGATACTATAACAGAGTATGAATGAATATCAATTCCCTTATTAATAGAGGTATTATTGGTTTGTCAAGAGTTTAGCGAAATTGATCAGATAAAATTATATTACCTTCCTCTACATTTTACTTTAATTTTTGTGTAAAAGTATATTATAAAGCAGAAATCAGTAAAAGACATTAGAAATGCCCTTTAGAGATAGAATGAAGAAACCTGATCAGAATGTAAACACATGGGAAGGTGTGGGAAACACACCAGATGGAAGAAACCAGACTTATATAAATCTTCCTGAAGACTAGCACTTAACTCCTCAAATTTAAAGGCTGGGGAGCCTGCTCCAATTCTCCAAAAGCAAATTCCATACTTCTCAAATAAAATTCCAGGAACTCTAGAAAGAGAACTACTATTTGTACATGCCCACCTAGATACCAGCGGCAAAGTCCACAGGCCCCCAAGGACATGCTCTATGAGGAAAAATAAGGTTCATCAATCCTTGCCGTATTATCATCTGAACACCTAGGTAACTCTGACAGTATCAGCCATCCATTTGAGCTTTCTTTTTCTCTTTCTTCCCTTCATATCCTATCATCCGTGTCCTTTATTCAGGTAACTATGGATCTATTCTACATTGACTCTCTCACATTTTGTTGCCTGGGCTTCAACCTTCATGCAATCATTTTTCTCAAGCTCTCCCTAGTCATATAACCACCCAACTCTACTGCTTTCCCCAGAGGTTAGTAGTTCTTCCTATCCAGTCATTTCCTGCACCCTTGATTATGTTAACCTTCTCAATGCTCCTGCATCAGAATATAGCTTTTTTCCATCAAGACTACTATCCAAGGCAAAAATAATCTTTCCATAATCTAAGCTCTTATATCTCCCCTCTAATCTTGATATCAGCCTTATTCTTTGATTATGTTTCTGCATACATTATTTCCAGTTCCCACTGAAGACAAAGGCCAAATCTCACCTACTTTAATGTCCACTCCAGCCATCAAATGTACAGAGCCTGACATAATACATGAGTGTTTCACTACTGTCCTAACTTGGATCACAGTTTCCTAAGCGAAACAGCACTCATCAAGCTTAAGGGACTCTTCACAGTAGAACTCTGTGGTCTCAAAGTACAGTCCCCCACAAGGCATCATGTCATTTCCACAATGGTATTTTTGCTTGTTGTTTCAAGTATCATTTGCCCAGGAATAATGTAAGAGGCTCTCATAACTGCTTTCACAGTCACCTGTGTATTTATTTAGTACCTTCAAGAGCCTGTGTCAGTTATTAAGTGACATGAAGTATGATAATGATTAAAGATAGGACTAACCCATCACTCTTCATTCTAAGTGCAAACTGGCTGCCTAGCTGCATGAAAAGAGCAGCAAGGTGGATGACGTGGGCAAAAGCGCAAATATGGCATAGGCCACACAAAACTAGATAATATAATCAGCTACTATGGGACATTGCGGGACCAAGCAAACTGTAGTTTAAGAAGCAAGCTTTCAACAGTTATGGGTCTCATAGATTAAATAAATAACATTTACCCATCCCAATGTCACTTTCTTTTCTGTCCCCTTCTATATACTAAGAGTTACAAGTCTTTCATCCTAAAAGAGCCTCATGTCAACCTGGAAACATGGTTTTAATTTTCTTTTCCTCAGAGTTTCTACAGCCTCTAAAATCAGTATATAAACCAGGAAAGTATGGCACTCCCCCCTCTGCCCATCAATGGCCACTTCCACTGGACTCTCTGGAAGAAAATAGTAAGAAGACACTGGCCTAGAAGCAGAAATCCACCATCAGCATCTTAAAGGTCAGTCCCCAGCAACCAGCGTCTCCAAGTACCCTGCAAGTGGCTACACGACCATGCCTATTTTTAGTGCCAAACATTTCACTTACCAGATTGAGCTGAATCTACAATTACCAAATGTTCTCAATCACATGCATACTGTCTGATTCTCCCGAAAACAGACTTGGTTAAAAAGTGCCTCTGCAACCAGACTTACTGAGGCAAGCCCAGCAGCAGTGTCTTTTTGAAGGGGCCCAATCTCAAAGCAGAAGCCCTGAGGATGTTTTTGTTAAAAGCTGGCAACTTCCCACACAGCTCATTTGGTCCTGCCCAAAGATCTGACAAGAATAAAATGCCTATGATATTCACCAGACATGGCTATCTAATATTTTAGAAAAAGGCATTCATCCATCATCACTAAACTGTTAACCTTGACTTCCAAGAGCCCCTGATGCTATGGAAGACTCTCCTTCTCTAACCATCAGAGAACCAAAGGGTCAAGGACAGGAAGGAAGGGGAGAAAGAACAGCTCATCTTTTTCAAGTAAGTTTGTGCCTTTTACATACATTTTTTTACTAGATAAACCCTTATACTTTCATCAGAAGTTAGAAGTCATTTTTTTAAATATGGAAAACCTTAGCACTTGATAATCTCCCTTGATCTTAAAAGCAACCCAGAAGGAAATCATTGACCTCCAGTAACTCAGAGAAGCAATTAATTTACCCATTTCCTTCACTCCCAACCAGTTCTCTCTGATGACAAACCAGGAGAATTAGCAAGGCCACAGGGTATTAGTAAGTCTAGACAAACATAACGTCTTTCTGTTGTAAAACTCATGACACAAGGGTTATAACAGCCATGTTGCTTTGGTAAATTTATAGAGCACAAAAATCAGTATGAGGTGTCACTACTCAAATGAGTGGCTTAATGGTGCAACAGAGCCCATGGCAGGACTCTGTGAAGAAAAGAAATTTTCATCTACAGTTTCCAGCACCATTGTTCTCCTACCTCAGAGTGAAGCACCATCAAACCTTCTCCCCCTTGAACTTCACTTCAGAGTGGAAAGCAACAAGGTGAAGTAGGCCAACTCCTCCTGCCAAAGGCCATCAAAGGCTGGGTATGTTACAGGAATTGCAGGAATGGAGGCCAGGATCATCTTAGGAATAGCTGGAAAAACCCCTACTGACAGAATTGTGGCCAATGATGGTTGGATAATGTGGGATGAGGGGTTGTCTCCTGAAGCAGTTGTTCTGGAAATCTACAGAGAGTAGGGACAATTCTGGGGCTGGGTAGCTCAGTGTTTCTCACCTAGAAATATGATAACCTAGCAAGAAGGACACTACAATTTGTCAGAAACTATTAGTCACTGGATGAAGGTTCTAGGATGGCATATAAGGTAGTCCTCAATCTCATTATCAGGGAGGGGCAATTACGGTTGCTTAGTTTGCCAGTTGGTGTCATCCTTGTAGATCTCTGGAAATCTCAGTAGTGTCAGCTCTCTCCTCAAACCTATAATGATTCCCTCTATTATGGTATCTCTCATCCTTCTGTCCTCTATTCTTCCCCCCAAATCAACCTTCCTGCTCCCCATGTCTTCCTCCCCCCTCCGTTTCTCCCCCTCTCCCTCTCTCCACATCCCTGTTCCCTCTCCCCTCCCCCCATGTCCCCAATCTGCTCAGGAGATCTTGCCTCATTCTGCTTCTCTGGGGTATCATGCATATCTCTCTTGGGAACCTCCCTGTTTCCCAGACTTACTGGCAATAGGATTGTAGGCTGGTACTCCCCTGATCCATGTCTAGAAATCCATATATATTACCATGGCATATGAATGAACTTTGGAAGCCCATTCCACATAGAGGGATGCTCTCTCAGTCTGGACACATGGGGGAGGCCTTAGGCCCTGCCCCAGATGAAACAGATTCTAGAGATCCCCCATGGAGGGCCTCACCCTCCCTAGGGAATGGTGTAGGGATTGGGTAGGGGGCTGGAGGGACTGGTGAAGGGGCAAGGGAGGAGGGGTGGGAGAGGGGGCTGGGATTGACATATGAAGCAAGTATGTTTCTAATTTAAATAAAAAATATAATGGAAAAAGAACCTTCAAAAAACTTATTAGTCCCCTTTGTCTAGTCATGACCCCCCAAATGGAATTAAGCTCCTGTAGTTACAAGACTCAGGAAACCCAGGAGGTTATAAGATTCACAAGGCAGTATACATAAGCTATAACTGTTGCAGGGCAGAGGGCACCTGCACACCACCCACCAAACTGCCTGTGAGTTGGGGTTCCTTTCCACCTCTACCTTGCAATGCTGAAGACACACTGCTTGCCAACACCTGCACACTCCCATGTTCACATGCATAGGAAAGGAAATGAGTCTTACCAGACCATCACAGTTGCTAATGGCAACAGAGGTTCCTGGAATGTCCATGATGTCACCAACATAAGCACAGCTAGTCTGCAAAGGCTCTGTTCTCCAGGTTTTTTCTGAAGCACTTCCGTGTTGATGGCTGTTTCCGGGGTCAGTTATATTCCCAGGTCTTGAAGATGTCTCGTGCCATTCCACAACAGCCCCAGGAGCTATGAAGTGAGTGTTGGGCTTTAGTCGAAGATGAAAATCTCTTCCAAATGCAGTGATGTTAAAGAATAATTGCTCTGAGTTGGATGACACATCCCTGGGTGACCTCTTTTTGTGATTTGCCGAAAGAATATGGGAAAGATAGTGTCCTTTCAGATTTGTGCTAACTGGTGTCACCAGCTCATACTCTCTATATCTCTTTATTGGTAAATCTGTGGGTAAAAAAAGGGAATTGTAAGACATCAGACGGCAGGGTACACAACATAAAAAACCACCTCAAATAGCTGAGCCAGCACACATTTAATATATTTTAAGCACTAAAATCATTTCTCTAATGCACTTAGGTAATTCAATTAATTCTTTTTATTTTAAAAAGTGTATTCAATCATGAACATTTACACCTTGTTGCTATATTTAAGACCATGAATATGTTTCTATAAACTATATCTGGCTCTTTTAAAATTAGGACATACCCCTAAATAACTCAGGGTTCTCATAGGAACTTCCAAAAAAGTTGCTATCATATAAAATTTCTTGATTTTATTTTTTGTCCCTGTAGAATCCCAGAATTTATCCTGCATTCAGTATCTTCTATATGCTGCTTCTGCCCAAAACCTAGGATTTATACTCTAACTTATAACACTAGAGTATATGTTATATTTTTTCAGTCTAACATTCCTGACAATCACATACCACTGATAAGAAAACTGAGTTTCAGGAAGAACCTGAATCCAAAGCCAGCCAATTGTGAAGCTTGGATATAAATCCAAATTATACTACAATACCTACATACACACACACACACACACATACAACACAATTCCCTGTTATACTAATAGTACTATACAACAATACATAGTTCTTTTTTAAAAAAATAATAATAAAACACTAAGAAGAAACCACATTTTATTAATTGATATGTAGAGGCCTAAGAATACAGTATTCTCATTTTATACTGTATTCCTTCCAAGAACAGCCGTCCATCAGCATATGTAGTTGGAACCCACCTTATAACAACATAGGTAGCAATTTCCATACTAAACTAAATCTTTGAGTCAGAACTGTTTCCCCCAGGTTAGTTGAATACATGAACTTGGGAAAGATTAAAAAGAAAAATAGTAGATACTGGAGAAAAGAAACACGGAGCAAAGGGCACAAAAAAGCAAGCATGGGAAGAATATGTGACTTTGAATTTAAAGTTTCCCACCCTTAGAATTATCACCCCAAACTAGTCATGTAATGTGTTCATGTTACCTGACAAAACTGACTCACAAATAATGATTGTCTATAGAAACTGAATCATTGTTATCCCTTAAAGTATTCAGAGCCTAGGGTCCACAATGAACCCATCATGTGTGTGCACTTAGTGTCATTGTAAAATCATTGTGTCCTCAAGTGTAAGGTCCCAGAAGACAGATAAGACATGTTGTAACATGGAAATTTTTGGTGTATATGGTAGGCCACCTATACTGACCAATGTATTAAAACAAAAACCACTCTTAGTTACAAGTATAAAGCAAGTGACACCTCTGCAAGGGTCATTAGGCAGAGGAAGAGGGAAAACTCTGCATAGCAGAGGGATGGCTGGGTTTTATCCTGAGAGCTCAGCCACACATTCCTAAAGCACCTAAGTGAGCAAGTGCATGATGCCAGTCTCCTGACACCCATAGTGAATGTTTCTTGGTTTAGAATGGGGCTGGAAATTTAGGAAATGAACACAAGAGTTATAGGAGCAGAGTGATAGGGGAAAGTGTTCATAGGCAGGTCTAAATCAAGTCCTAGAATGTGGCCTAAGAAGGACCAACCAAGTAAGTTCCATAAGGACAGTGGAACACCCTTAATTTATGTGATATTCTCAATATCAATATATAATAACCTAACATAAGGTTTTCTGTATATATCAGATGCTACAGCCAGGTACATTTGTTCAGTGTATATTCGCTTCTGGTAACCAGACAACTTTTGCTATGTCTATGCTGCTAGTCATACTGACTTCTAGTTCTACTCAGGACGCATGAGCAGAATCTCCCTATACCAATAATCTGCTCTAACTCTTTCTCCATTAGTTTTTTACTTGAAGAGAAGGAGAATGCAATGCTTATATTTAATGTATGGATTTCCTGTCTCCTCTGAATGGAATTCACACAAGAAAGTCTAGACAACATACTGATGCCTGGATTAAAAGACTCGAGAATATGAATGCAGGAGACCCCAAGAGGATACACAGACAGCAGCCTTATATCCTAGACCTCTAAGACAGTTTCAGTTCAGACAATATGTTCTGAATTTTTATTTAAAAGAAAGATGCTACATAAGACCTCTTTCCCTGGTGTAAAAAAATGTATTTTTCAAGTGTAGACATAAGAATCATTTCTTAAATGAAACCCCAAATTCCCATTTTCCCATTGGTAATTAGGGAACTTGGGAAAAGATGAACTCAGAAACCTCTAACACCCTTGAGATAACTAAGGAACTCCCCAGTTGCCTGCTATTTGTTGGTAAAATATGATGCTCTGTGAACTGTGCTTGGGAATGTATCATCCCTAACACAGCAATCATCGTAGGTCAGTATTATTACTCCTATTCTATAAATGAGGAAGTGGAACTAAGCCTAACACAGCAAGCCATGTACCTAAGGAAAAAAATCTCAGTCCTGAATTTGGGCTCTGAATGCACACCCATTCTCCTCCAACTTCAGCACAGATGGAACTTCTCGCTGTCAATTTCTCAGTCAAAGTCTGACCTATAAATGAAAGGTAGCACATAGCACAGCTTCAGTAACTTCTGTAAAAGATTTTAAATTCCAGTTTGGGTAGGAGAAGTGATGAAAGTGGGTAGAAAATTAAAACTATCAGAAGCATTTTAACATATTACAATTACATGAAAACCAAATTATGTTCAATATTTACTTATTGAATGAAAAAAATATGCATTTGACAGACCCATCTTCTACAGAGCAGAACTGTGGGTGGTTAGGAATGAACAGCAATATTTAAGACACCAACAAACTCAATCAACAATCACCTTGATCAAGGTTTATATTCCTGTGAATCATTTCCTTAATTATCAACTGGATTTTAACAGTAGTTACAGCACATGTATTTGTCAAGAAGTTCATATTATGTCAACCAGAGACTCAGTGAATACTAGTCACTAGAAATACAAACACTTAAGGGAATGTCATGTTCAATTTTTTAATTATACAATTGTCTGATCAATGGAATAGAATTGAAGACCCAGAAATAAGTCCACAAACATATGGAGACCCAGCTTTTGAAGGGGAATCCAGAAATACACACAGGACAATACACAACATCATCAACAAATGATGCTGGTTAAACTGGATGTGTGAATGTAGAAGACTGCAGATAGATCCATATTTATCACCATGCACAAAACTCAACTCCAAATGGATCAAAGACCTCAACATAAAGCTAGATACACTAAATATGTTAGAACAGAAAGTGGGCAACAGTGCTGAACTCACCGCTAAGGAAAAATCTTTCTGAACAGAACACCAATAGCACAGGCACTAAGAACAACTATTAATAAATAAGACCTCATGAAACTAAAAAGCTTCTGTAAAGCAAAGTACACTATCATTCAGATAAAGTAGTACAAAACAGAATGGTTAGAGATACCACCTATACATCCAATAGAGAGCTAATATCCAAAATCTATTAAAGAACTAAAAAAAGAAGAAAAAATTGGACATCAAGAAAACAGATAATCTAATTTAAAATGAGGTACACATCTAAGCAAAGAATTCTCAAAAGAGGAAACACAAATCGCTGAGAAACATTTAAAGAAAGGTCCAACATCTTTAGCCATCAGGAAAATGGATATCTAAACTACTTGAAGATATCATCTTACACCAATCAGAATGACCAAGATCAATAAAACAACTGACAGCTCATACTGAAGAGGATGTGGGGCAAATGGAAGCACTCACTCATTGCTTGTACAGCACTTACACAGCCACTATGGAAACCAGGGTTTACAATCTAATAAAGCCACTGCAGATCAGAATGTAAAGTAGGCCATAGCCCTAGAATCTGGGCAGTAGTGACACACACCTTTAATCCCATCACTCGGGAGGCAGAGGCAGGCGGATCTCTGTGAGTTTCAGGCCGGGCTGGACCGATAGCCTCCAAAACAATACAGAGAAACCCTGTCTCGTAAAAAAAACAAAAAACAAAAAACAAAAAAAAAACAAAAAACAAAAAACAAACAAAACAAGGTACCCAGGGACTTATGTGACATCCAGTCTTGAGTCTCTGGCAATTGGTCTCCAGTCACGCTGCAGATAGGATCACCCGAGCCTGGGTAGAGGTAAGAGCTCTCTGGTGACTTGGTTGGTTTGCTTCTCTGACCTTCAGCTTGAACCCCAATATCTGTCTCTGGATTTATATTATTTGTGCTACCAATATATCAACCTTTGACATCTTAGAAATCTTAGTCATATGTTTATTTATGGATTTTTTTCTCTGCTTACACATAAGCTTCACAGGAGCATCTGTTCTCATTACAGAGCCCAAAGTGGGTCAATAGTTTTTGTGAATTAAGAAATGAATGAGGGCAGTTCAAGCCCACGAAATATCTAAAATTAGCATACATTCTTCTCCCTAAACAGCAAATTGTAAAGGCTGACACGGACCTAGAATCAGAACTCTTTGTCTGCAAAACATGTGTATAGTTCTCCCAGATCCTACTGACCTATAAATCAAACATTTCACGGCATTCACGCCTTACAACTTAATCCACCAAGAGTAAGTAATGGGTGCAATTATTAAAACAGACCTCCAGGAAGGCAGGCATGGAGCTTCTCATTCTCAGCAGCAGGAAATTAATTCCCACACTATACCCGTCAAAAAAAAGCCTTTTTTTAAGTTGAAAGTCCATTAAGTCCCTGTCTCTCTTACACATTAAGCATCTCCAGCAGATTTTTCCCCTTAAATTACAGGTAGAGTGTCTTTAGCTTGATCCTACTTCTCCTGCTTGACCAGGGGAGTCCCAGCTCAACCTGGCCCACTAGGATGGGAATCTATGGTACAACCTGTCTGTCAAAGTGAAACTGGGCTCCATCACATTCTCTTTTGTAAAGAGAAACATCTTTGATGTTTCCATTTCTCAGCATGCTCAGAACCCAGGCAGGCAACAGGGAGAGATTCCTCTTTAGGATTTTTTTCAGAACTCAAACCACCCCTAACAA